ACCCTGTTCTTATTCAATATGATGACCACCCCAGACAAAGAAAGAAGGTTGAGCCAATAGACTCAAGCCCAAAGAATATCTCAGAATAGCTCATCCTACATAACTGCAGGGAAATGGGCCAGTTCTGGTGGATGAGTTAACACGGCAGCAGCAGGAAGCACTGCTATAAGTAAAGGCTGGCGTTCTTTCTACCTGTTTTGCCTAGATACTTTCACTGGAGCAGTGCTAATTATAATTAATGTGATCACATAGTTTTATTCCCTTTTTTGATGAAGCTCACCACATGAATGACACTAAAACATCTATAAAAATATAACAAATTAGATGTGTCAAGCTGAATGATAATGGTCTATATGTGGGGGAGATTGTGAGACAAGTTGTATTACCTGACTAATCTGTGTCTGGGATGTGCAATTGTGCACAACCAGTAAAAGTGCCTTAGCACCCAAAGATTTAACTGCCATGAAATGAGTGATGTAAATCTGGCCATATAACATTTGTGCAAATAGTTATGCCAGATATCTCCTGCAAACCTACATTAGGTTTTATAGGAAATGGCTCTCAGATATTTCCAAGGTGAGGTTTTTTAAAAAACTGATAACATGAATATAACTATGGAATGTTTTAATTCATTTGCTTTTATGTGGATTGTGTTCTGTATTTTAATTGAGATTTTTAGATATGCTGCCCTGAGATGCTGCTGCTGCTGCTGCTAATTTTGTATGAAGGACAGTCTATAAATTATATAAATAAAATGAAAAATAAACACATGCATATGTTCTTCCATTCAATATACAATTAACCTCTCAACAATCAGAAATGAGAGTTATCAAAATAGTTTGACATGGTTGTATCAAATTCTATTCTGCACAGAGTAAATGCACTGAAATTAATCTGTATAACTAATTTAGGCACATTCCTTTTAATGGCTCTACTCTATAGACCTATAGATTAAATACACAATGTGCCCAGCTTATGGTCTGACAAGTTGGATCCTCCTAACAGAGGGTCCATGTTGTGCTCGGCCCTGAAACTCTTCCCTAACCGGCTTGTGGGTGGGGCTTGCCCCACTCCAAGCCGGTGGTGCCACAGTTATGCCAATGGCCTTTAGCCAATCAGCAGCGTGGCAAGGTTGGGGGTTGGGGGTATTTATTTGGCAACGCGACGTAGGGACCTTCTTTTGCTTCGCGTTGCCGAACACCCGCCCACACATCCGTTAATTAGGTTGTGTTTGGCCTTGCTTTGGACTTCGGTTGGTCGCCTGTTTTGGAATGGGGGCCGGGTAGGAATTTTTTCCAATGTGGCAGATTGGCTGTGGCCACTTGATTTTTGCCTACCTCTTAGCAATCATCACAACTTGTAAGGTTTGGCAGTTAGGCATTGGTTTGGGGGGAATGTGGGGAGGGGATGTGCGGCCATCACCTGCCCCTCCAATGAATAGGGTATTCCGATAAAGGAATCCAAGGGTCTGGATCTCGTCCGAAGCCTGGAGAAGGGCTAGGGCCATGCCAGGACCCCCAGGAACCCCAGGGGTGAGCACCAGTCTATATACATTGATGGAGCTTCCCCTGCTGGTTGTTTACCCTTTCCAGGCTTCCTGCAGGGTGGGGCAGGAGCAAGATATAGTTTGATACCAATGCCTACATCAATACCAGTCACATTTGTGTATTTTAATAAAATTGTGGCCAAAATTTGCCCATTAACATTTAAACTAAATTCTGTCTCCACTGTGTCTTTATTTCCATGGGGGATGGGTTTGGTGGCTCGAAGCACAACCTTTGTTCACTTCCAGAAAATGAAAAGTAAGCTTTCCCAACATTGAAGCCTTGATCTTGGAACTGCCACTGTAAAAGGGGTGTTCGGACAAACTCCATCCACTCATTCGGCAAATGCATGAAGGGAGGAAGAGATTGCACCCACTAATCACTCACCCAATACTCCTCTTGTGTCTTGACAGCTGAGTGTTCACTGTTAGTGTGAAGTGTGCCTCAATGCAAGCAGAAAACCATAAGTCCCCTTCACATGAATGGTGAACATATACATGATCTTATTGCTCCCTCAAGCATTCACCGAATGCACAGGTTCATTGTGAACATGAACACTCCTGAAACTCTCTAAGGACACAATCTATCCTAATATAGTTCAGTGCTTGCATGTGACAAGACTGAAATGCAGTTCAGTATGTCTTTGCTTCTTCCTTCCCTATTCATGGGTACCCTTGAGATTTAAAGATCCATTCATGCCTTTCTATCCTCCTTTAGCCCTCCATCTTTTCTGACTTCTTGTTACCCAGGTGCAAAGGTGGAGCCCTATCCTCATCACCTAATACTTATTCCAGCTGTGCCTGATGTCCTAACTCCTACATCATAGTGATACAATCTGAATCACAGGCATTACCAAAAATAATATGTCAGGCCCCCCAAATAGTACTGACTGTTAAACCAGTAAATGCAGAAGGTTGCCTCTGTATGTAGCATTTTATAGGCGACTGGCACACTGAAGACGTTTTCTTTTTCTTCTATTTTAACAGCGACAGAAACAACACCAGCAGTAATATTCTTCAGTAATGTATCTGAAGAAGTGTGCATGCACACGAAAGCTTATACCCAGAACAATCTTAGTTGGTCTCTAAGGTGCTAGCGTTTCACTATACACTGCACTGCAAAATAATAATAACATCTAGGGTTGTATCTAGTGTTGATCATACACAGAATGAGCCCATTGAAATTAATGGGCATCACTCATTTAGGTCCATTCAATTTACTGGGTCTAATCTGGGGAGAATGTAGTTGGATACAACCCTTTATAATCAGGAAAGTATCAGTTCACTACTATGTTGAGGCTGGTTAAAGGGTCAGGTAGGTAGCCGTGTTGGTCTGACACAGTCGATATATATACATATATATACAGTGGTACCTCGGGTTACATATGCTTCAGGTTACAGACTCCGCTAACCCAGAAACAGTGCTTTAGGTTAAGAACTTTGCTTCAGGATGAGAACAGAAATTGTGCTCCGGCGGCGCAGCGGCAGCAGGAGGCCCCATTAGCTAAAGTGGTGCTTCAGGTTAAGAACAGTTTCAGGTTAAGAACAGACCTCCAGAACGAATTAAGTAATTAACCCGAGGTACCACTGTATATGTCCAGTAGCACCTTAGAGACCAAGTGAGTTTGTTCTTGGTATAAGCTTTCATGCGCATGCACACTTTTGTGATTGTGTCCTGTTCACATGCTGATCATGGGAGAACAGATCATAGCTATAATCTATCATGATGACAGATAGTTATCACCATGGCTTAGCGGCAATGGCAGTACAAGGCCTCTGAAACGGGAAGTTTCAGCCATAGTGAGCAGGTACTTCCTGTTTTGGTTCCTGTCATGTTACTAGCAACAGTCTCTTTAGACCATAGATGGTCACAATGTTTGAGTCTATTTTAACACACACACACCAACCGATAACTCAGGGAGTGTAGGGCACCATTTGTATACTCACTAGATAATCCCATTCAACTAAGATAACTGAAGGGCATTTACCATTTGCATCAAATTTATGCCCTGTAATTAAATGTTCAACTAGGTTCTCCAATGCATCAAGGCTAGCTGCATTTTATCATTAGTGATCGTAGTTTATTTCACAGGGAAAATAATCTGCTTTTTTATGTTATCAGTAACATTTATTACTTTATTTCCTTTGTGTGTTGTTCCTTTTCAAAGTAGGGGTGGGGGGTGGAATACTGAGATCCCCTTGGAGTTTTTTTTATGAGTTGTCCTACTTGTAGCATCTGAGTATTTTTTTAAAAATGAGTTCATTGAAATTCAGTCCAAAAAAGAATGTAATTTACTGCTGGTTTATAATAAGAGATCATCTGGCTTCAGCTAGACTTGGGTGGCTGTGTCTAATAAAACATTTGATGCAATCTTGATTAGACCACACAAAGCCTGGTATTTGGGAAGCACTGCATGTGATTTGGGCTTTTATATCATCCTAACCCTAGTGTCCCTTGCACTGAATGATATAATCAGTTTAAATGTATGTACTCTAATGATGTGTTTGTCATGAAAACAGAGCCCACAATCCCTTCATCAATGTGACAAGGAAGAACAATTGATTTAATTTGTGGCTGGTTGCTAAATATTACTGTGGTGGGATGCTTTTAAGAGTTTCGATAATTACGCAAAGCTGCTTTATGCATAATTTCTACAGACGATGGGTGATAAAGCTGGGCATTACCCTTGGCAGTTTTGCTGCTCTTTGTTTTCAGTTTTCAAAAAGAAATAAATATCCTATTGACTTGAGCAGTGGAAAGCTAATGAAGCTGGGAACAGAGATGTGGTCTCACCACTCCTGCCTCCAGTGCCATTCTACACCTTTTCCAAACCAGGGTAGTTTTCATACTTATATCTTAGTCCTAGTATCTTGCATGAGGGGGGAACACTTTTATGGATTTGTTTATTTGGAGTAAGGGATGAGGAACTAAAAAAAAGGACAAGTCTTTGTCCCAAAGAGATTGCAATCCAAATGTTGATGGGCTTGGGGAAGAGATACAAATGTATGAGGGGTTAAATGTTAGACATTTGAGTTTCATATACCTTTTCTGCAGTGGCTCCCAATATGAGGAATGTGCTCCCCAGGGAAGTTAATCTGGCTCCTACATTATACATCTTGAGGTGCCAGGCGAAAACATTCCCCTTCTACCAGGTCTTTGGCTGATTAATATTCATTGGCCTTTGAAATGTTTTGTATTTTTTGTTTTTTGCTTTGGTTTCAACTATTTATTTTGTGCAATTATCCTGTATTTTTATCTTGTGAACCACCCTGAGATCTTCAGTTGAAGGGTGGTGTAATAATAATAATAGTAATAATAATAATAATAATAATGCCAAAATATTTAGCTGCTCGTGTAACTATGCAGCACAACACCACTGTTGCCTCTTAGCAACACCTACTGCTGGGACGGTCAGGTCCTCCTCACAGTCACTCCTGAATAGCAGCGGTTCTTACAGGAAGCTTAGCTCTTTGGTAAAGCACCTGCTTTTCATGCAGAAGGTTGCAGGTTCAGTCCCTGGTGTCTCCAGGTATGGCTGGAAAGACCCTTGTCTGAAACCCTGAAGAGAAGCTGCCAGTCATTGTAGAGGGATCAGCAACCTTTTCTGGGCCCAGTCACAAACAAACTGTTGCTGATATTAATACCATGCAGTTTGAAGCAAATGAATTCATGAAAACCGAGTTGTGTTCTAAATGAAGCATTGTCCAGACCCTTGAAAATATGATTCAAATTTTACTAGCAGAACTCTTTAAAAGCAGAACATAAACATCAAAGATGCACCACAAAATAGCCATACGTCTTGCGCTGTCCAGCACAGGCTCAGCATCTTAGAAAACATGAAATAATCCAAACAGACCTAGAAGCAAAGGTCTCTCCCTCTCCACAGCCTGCATTCCAGCCTTCATTGGCCTCTGGCTGTTTACTCTCTCTTCAGGAGAGCTTCATTTACATCCCTTTGTTCTCTGTGGCGTTCAAGATGGCAAATTTCCAGCTCAATACCTTTGTCTTGTGACCTAAGGTTACAACAGTTTAGAATAACAGAGAACAATCAGCAGGTAATCGTGAGCCCATTTAGGAGCTGAGTGTGTCTCCTTGGCTTTAATATAGCCCCATGGAAAAACTCCATGTTAAACCTTTCCACCAGTACACATTTTGTTGCTGTTTAGTCGTGTACAACTCTTCATGACCCCATGGACCAGAGCACGCCAGGCACTCCCACAATTTGGTCAAACTCACGTTGGTAGCTTCGAGAACACTGTCCAACCATCTTGTCCTATTCCGTCCCCTTCTCAATTTAAACCTTCATTAATGCACATACATTTTCCATTTCTGTGTCAATTAAAGCAATTATACTTAACACAAACAAACAAAAATACCTTGTCATGAGCACCACATGAACACAATGCAACCTGATCAGTTGGCTACAATAGCAAGCATCTTTTAAGCCTTGTTACAGTCAGGGAAGGGGATCATATAGGCACCCAGGAACACCCCCTCTGGGCCTATGGGTGCCCATGGGTGGCACATTGGTGACCTCTAGAAATAGGGAGTTCTGAGCTAGATGGACCAATGGTCTGGATTCAGTATAAGACCATTTTCTACGTTCTTAATGTACAATTACTTTGCAAATGGATTGCATAAATGGAAGGATTCAATAGACAAAGGTCATTAATTAGACTTCTATTCATTAATTAGATTTACATTATAGTGCTTGAACTGGAAGTGTGTTTTGTATGGGTTGTTGTTGTTGTTTAACAGCTTTATAACAGAAATGAATTATTAGTTGCATCCAGGTCCCAAGAGAATATGCTATTTGACCTTGATGCTCTCCATGCAAAAGTCATTGTAATATGGAACAGGCTTGTAATTCCTTGTTCTGACATGAAGGGATCGAGACATTGCCACATGCCACAGTGTCTCAAAAGCTTCTGTAAAATGCATTTTGACTTGAAGAAAAGGCAGCTTTAGTAGCACAAGTCCCAGGCAATTTTAGGAGCTGATAGGAGAAGTTCTATGAGCGTGTTCTGCCTTCATTGTGTGTAACAGCAGTGAAATATTATTCAGAAACACTTGTCTATGGAATTCAAATTTCCTTGCTTCCTGGCAACAGCAGGAGATTCATGCTGAAAAGTGACATTGTTTGTGACACTGGATGTGGCAGCTTAATGAAAGGGTTTGTAAACAGATTTAATATTGGGATTTAGTATGTAAACATGAAGAGTTCTGTTGTACCTGTTAGGCCAGAGCCAAAAGGGAAAAGATGGATCTGGGATGTAGATCAGAGTTCAGCTCAGTTTTCATTTCTGCCATAACATCAGCAGATGGCCTTATCAGCCTCTCTCAATGCAGTTACAGGTACACACACAGATTCCCATCTACAATATGGGGTTAATAATACTTCGCTTACATTAGATCAACCTCCTGCAACCTGGCACCCTCCAGGTATTTTGGACTCGAACTCCCATCAACCCCAATGAAGACTCATGAGGAAAAGAGACAGTGAAAACAGGTTATATTTATTAATATAACAACTGAAGCTCTGCAAACCAAATTAACCTAAATCAGAAACTAAAAACCGGTGAGGATTTTTGCTCATTCTGGCAGGGAAGCATCCCTCCAGACCCCTGGGCACATTAACAGCCATAGACTACAGCTCCTCAGCCAAGGGCTGGGAGAAAATAGCTCCTTCTTGCTAGGGGAGTCAAAGGTGAGATATGACTGAGAGGAGATGTGATAACCATCTTCAAATATCATAAGGGCTGCCATGTGAAAGATGGAGCAAACTTGTTTTCTCCTGCTCTGGAGAGTAGGACTCAAACCAATGCCTTCAAGTTACAAAAAAGGAGATTGCGACTAATTATCAGGAAGAACTTTCTGGCAATAAGAGCTGTTGGACTGTGAAATGGGTTCCCTTGAGAGCTTGTGGACTCCTTTGTTGGAAGGTTTTAAGCAGAGGTAGGATGGCCATCTGTCATGGAAGCTTTAGTTTAGATTCCCGCATTGCAAGGGGTTGGACCAGATGACTCACAGGGTCTCTTCCAACTCTGTGATCTGGTGAAGGTATGGGAACCCAACACATGCACCCAGGCCATGCTCATGTTGTGTATGTTGGGCCTAAAGGGCACCCCCTCCCACTCCCCACCCAAGGAAATTAAAAGTTAGAGAAATGTCAGGGAAATGGAATAAACAGTCATGTGAATGCAGCCTAGCTAATCTCAAAAGTCTGTTTGGGGGTTTTTGGGGGGGGAGTGAAATGTGGATTTGTGGTCCTAGGGCAACAAAGCACTTTAATCCACTTGAATTCTGCAAACCCAAATTCCCAATATGTATTTGAATCTTTCCCACAAAATATCAAACACTGGAGAAATCAGCTATGAATGTGATTTATTTCTAGGATATTTGCTTAAATGTATAAAAACTCATGTAACTCCTTCATCATACACCTTCATAGAAATCTCAGCAATTAATGGTGTGTATTTCAGGGTGAACACTCATTTAAACTTTCCTCCATACCTTCCTCATATTATTGTACTGAAAAAGCACTTACCTCTATTATATCTTCTAAATGGAGTAATTCAGTTTTGAACATTTCAAACGAGGAGGGTATCTTATTAGCACATTAGTGCCTAATGTGTTGTAAATCAAGCAGGTATAGCCATTCCCCCATGGGCCTAGATTATATATAGTATGCAAATATTGAATATTTGCTATGTAAAACATCCTAAATAAATTATATCGGCCAATAAAAACTGATGGGAAGGCATTCCAATGGCACACTACTACAGATGTAATTTTAATATTAAAGTCCATGGATCATCTCTTTCTATGAGCAGAGGTCAGCAAATGAGCTTGCTGCAAGAGAACACATGCTATGGTCTGGTGATATGAGCTCAACGTAGTATTTAAGGAGAGAGCATGTGCTTCTGAAGCTTCAGAGAAGGGCACTGTTTGCCTCCTGTTCTCAGAGTGGCCAAATGGATGCCTATGGGAAGCCTCAAGCAGGACTTCTGTTCCTCAGCAACTGGTATTCAGAGCATAGCTGTCAACGTTTCCCTTTCTTTTAAGGGAAATTCCCTTATTCCGAATAGGATTCCTCGCAAGAAAAGGGAAAAGTTGACAGCTATGATTCAGAGCATACCAAATCTGATATGCAGCCATAATGACTAGCAGGCATTGGGCTGCCTATCAGGTCAATCACAGGTTGGGGGAAGAAGGAGAAGGAGAAGGACTTTCCGCTTTCCTTAACAAAAACAGCCCTTTAATGTAATTTGAGTATAACAATAAAATATGAAGTACAGAATGCAGATTCTCAAATACTGTATTTACCCGAATGTAATGTGCACCTTTCTTTGGCCAGATTATGTAGTGAAAATTAGGGTGCACGTTAGATTTAATGGTGCCAGCCAATACTTTTTCTTTCTTTCAAGGTTCTGAAAACTGAGATGCATATTAGATTTGCATCAATACGGGCTGCATAGATCATTATTGATTCATTATTACAAGGGATGCTTACATGGTTGTCAACATTTCGCATTCCCCGTGTCTACAAGTTTAATTTGAAAGCTATTTTCACTAGAATACAAATTTGGTTTTAAAATGGCTCTTTCTGCAATATGCAGGAGTGGTGCAATTTGAGGCTTGCGATGCAATCTTAAATTCACTTTAGCCCTATCTAGACATTCTGTCTGAGCAAATAAGGGCAAAAAGTGCATAGGGAGTATATTCAGTATAAAGGTCTGAAGAATTGTCTAAGAAGACTCCCTATGATCAGGAACTGTGAACATAAGAATCTTAAGAGCCTGCTGAATCAGTCCAATGTTCCATCTCTCCAGCATCCTGTTCTCTTAGTAGCCATCCAGATCTCTGTGGGATATAAGCACGTCAGGAATAAGCCAGCACCAAGTGGAACTTTATAGCCAGCTGCAGAATACGGACATGAACAGAGAGGTTTAGAATTGACGCAGGCTGAGCAGAGGCCAGAGCTGCCAGTGCTGGCTCCCTCTGACCTTGGACGGCCGGTTGCCAAGGGAACAACTGAGTGGGCTGGAACACAGCCAAAGCTCTCAGGAAGCTCAAACAGGCACGAGACAGTCTTTTGGAACAGGAAGAGGTCGTAGCTGATCCAATAAGTCCGAAGAGTCGGCGAATGGGAGGGCTGCTGTACAGGAAGCAAAGCAAGAGACATAAGGGGTGAAGCTTCAATATCTTCTGTAGGAACCAGAAGAAGTCTTCAGAAGTTTCATCTTGAGTGGTAATGTTGGCGGATTTGTTAGAGCCGTCCAGAGCTATCTTTTTGTTTTGCAATAAACCCTTCTTTTTAATTACCTACACTTACTGTGTTATTAAGCCGGGAATCTGGACTCCAGACAGCACAGGAGCTCTCTTCCCTCCAGTTTCCAGCAACTGGTATTCAAAAGCATTACTGCTTCTCACTGTGGAGGCAGAGCATAGCCGTTCTGGTGAGTGACCATTAATAGACTTATACTCCAATATCCTGAATTATCTGAGTTCCTGATTGCAGTGAGGCT